AGACTGGCTTTAGTGACACACTTGTAACCTACAGAATATGACAAATGGCATGTGGTATCATTTCAGCATGATTTACTTGACCTTTTGTGCTCTGTCTTTATTATTTTCTTCATTTTTTCCCCCTCTGCCTCCCTTGGATCTCTGGCTCTGGGGAAGCTGCTGTTCTTTCATGGTGCCCTAAGAGAGGCTTATGAGTCCTAGGACAGAGTCCTAAGATAGTGCCTGGCAGCTGGCAGGAAGCCCCCAGCCCTACCTGAATGTTGTTTAGGCCATTTCTGCCCCTGGTGAACTCTGTTCCCCACATTCAATACAGACCCTCTGTCACACAGGCTTCTATCCTGGGAGAACAAGAGATGACACTGGGGGCCCAGGCTTCACCTGTGTACTCCCTTTCCCCACCTGTCAGCTTTGTCCTTGGGTGACCATGACAGGACACCAGGCTCACAATCTCCCACCACCTATTCCTGCCTCATGTTGCCCTCACTCAAAAGGAAAGGTGTGGGGCTACTCAGGGGCCTTTACTGTGTGGACTGGCCTGGATGGACCTGCCCTTGGCTAATTGGTATCACCCATTGGTTCCTCCTCATAGATACCCTGATGTCTAGAGCAGAGTCAGAACCAGCATAGGACCCTTTGTAGGAATCTGTCTTTGTGATCATCCTGAGTCTGGTCCTTGAGAGGTAGGATACAGCCCCCAATGCAGCTCTCATTCTGGGGCCTCCTGAATCCACCCATGACCATGGGAAGTCAGGATACAACAGAGCATGTCACTCCCTTCACTATATGTTGGTTTCTTTCTATGAAAACCCTGATGTTTCCTGGGTAGCTGCTGAACCAGGGTAGTACTTTGTGCCTTAGGTTGTGGCTTTGAGATGTCCTGAGGCTGGGTCCTGGGATAGGGGAATGTAGCACCAGAGACTGCTTGGCTGTGGGGTATCCTGAGGCTTTGGCCTTAGAAACTGAGAGGTAACTAACATCCTTCTGCATCCCCGATGTCTGGCTGAGTGAGCTAGGGAGAGGACTGTTGCTGTAATGTATGTGCCTGGGTATTGGAGTTTCTTGAGTTGCTTGGATCTGTCCCATTGAAGTGAAGTCATGTCTTTGGGACCCTAACCTGACTCCCTCTTCTGATGAGACCACATACGTCCCTCTGGGCCACTGTCTGCTCTTCTCAGCCCCTGTATATTTTTGTATGCACATACAGTATCTCCATCCTTGGCCCTTGAATTTCTGTGACAGTCCTGGGTACCTGCAGTGTCCCAGCTCCAAGGAACATACCTGGATTAGTTCCACCTTCTCTTCCTGACCTCTCCTGTGACCCTGTTCAAGGCATCATATCTTTAGGGCTTCCCTAGTCTCCCTGCACACTGGTGGTCATCCTAGCATCTGTTTCTGAATGACATCATCAGGCATGTGTGAGAAACATTGTGGGCTGCTGTCACATGTAGGTAATGCACAAAGTTGGAGGTGAAATAGTGGAAGGTTTTGGATGTGGCAAAGAATATAGCTAAAAATAAGTCTGGGCTCCTATGTTGTGACCTTGGAAATGTTGCTTCCCTTCTTGGCCTTCTCCTGTTTGCATCATGAGAAGGTGGAAATTCAGTTAATTCAGATATCTTCATGGTCCATAAGCCTTCTGAATGCTTCCCATTATAGATTCAGATCTAAGGGCCTCAACTTGGCCTTTGTGGCTGGACCTAGTGCTTAATAGCTCCCAGTTACCCTCACCCTGGTGTGCACATCCTAAGCAATCCCCTCCCTTTGAGTGCTTGAGTGTGGACTGGATTTAGTTGTTCACTCCTTAGCTATGGAACATGACCAATGGCATATGATGTCACTTCACCATGATTTACTTAACATTTTTGCTCTGTCTCTATTATTTTCTTCTCTGCCTCCCTTGGAACTCTGGCTCTGGGGAAGCTGCTGTTCTCTCATGATGCCCAAAGAGAGGCTTATGAGTCTTAGGACAGAGAGAGCAACCCATGAGGAGATATTAGGTCTCTGTCCTGAGTCCTTCCAGTAACCATGGGACTCAGTGTGGAAGCAGATCTTGCAATAACTGAACCTCAGGTGAGTCTGTAGACCAGGCCTCCTGAGAGACATCAGGAGCCTCCAGCTGAGTCCTAAATTTCTGTTTCATAGAACTGTGAGACCATAAATGTTTGTGTTGCATCCTTTAAGTTTGGGATAGCATTTTCCCAGAGTAGTGTGTCAGTGGTATAGTCTAGAAGGCCCTAGAATTTGTCCTTCCATCCCACTCCTCCTGGGCTTTGTTCAGCCCCACTGGTTGCTCTTGTAACTTCCTTTCTGACTGAACTCACTTTTGACTTTGACTTCCTGAACAGTTGATCCTTCCCTCTGGCACACTGTGCCCAGGGTTGTGCAGGGCTGCATCCCTCTCAAGTCTATGCTTGAGTGATTTCAAGGCCTCCGTTTTATGAAGGAGCCAAGGACACAAAGGAGCAGGACACCAGTGTCCAGGGGCATTAGGAGGGACTGCAGGAGCTGCCCTTTCCCCTGCTTACAAGTCTTTTTCACTATGGCCACTTCCAGGGTCTTACCCTCCAACAAGGTGGTCCTTGACTTGTCCAAGGATGAGTGGGTCAGTGCTCTGCTACCTTGTGTCCTTGCCAAGTTTTTGGCTGGCTCTGTAGGACTTCCAGGAGGCTGACAGCATTTGGCAAGGACCTGTGTGCACCAGGGGCTAGAGGTTGGTGAGCCTTGTGATCCTTGGAGTGAGCAGCGGCAAACTCCATGTTATGTCAGGAAGGACACTGTGGCTTCTCATGGATCCCCTCCACAATAGGCAGGTGTTCCTAGAGAAACATTCCCATGCTGGTGGTAGAGGAGCCAGGAACAGGCATACCCCTTGTTTTCTTTAGGGATTTCCCAGCCCTGAAATCCTGCCATCTCTCCTCCTTCCACACTGTGGATCCTGGATATGCTAACTGGATATGGCTAGTCATGTCCCCTGGAGGTACTGCCTCTAGCATCTTTCTCCTTTTCCTTTGTTACTTCCCAGGGTCCATCCCCACTGTTGAATACCACTTTGGCCCCCAGTTGTGGTGTTATTTTGTGTATGTGTGTGTGTGTGTGTGTGTATGTGTATGTGTGTGTGTGAGTGTGCACACACATTTCTTCATACATCCTTGGAATGTTTGCGGTTCTCTTTTTTTATTTTTTATTTATTTTATTTATTTTTTATGCCTATTTTTTAAATTTTATAAAAATTGAATCATACTACTTTTTAAAAAATTTTTTATTGTTGGTTGTTCAAAACATTACATAGTTCTTGATATATCATATTTCACACTTTGATTCAAGTGGGTTATGAACTCCCATTTTTACCCCGTATACAGATTGCAGAATCACATCAGTTACACATCCATTGATTTACATATTGCCATACTAGTGTCTGTTGTATTCTGCTGCCTTTCCTATCCTCTACTATCCCCCCTCCCCTCCCATCCCCTCCCCTCCCCTCTTCTCTCTCTATCCCCTCTACTGTCATTCATTTCTCCCCCTTGTATTATTTTCCCCTTTCCCCTCACTTCCTCTTGTATGAAATTTTGTATAACCCTGAGGGTCTCCTTCCGTTTCCACGCAATTTCCCTTCTCTCTCCCTTTCCCTCCCATCTCTCATCCCAGTTTAATGTTATTCTTCTTCTCATGATCCTCGTCCCTACTCTGTTCTTAGTTACTCTCCTTATATCAAAGAAGACATTTGGCATTTGTTTTTTAGGGATTGGCTAGCTTCACTTAGCATAATCTGCTCTAATGCCATCCATTTACCTGCAAATTCTATGATTTTGTCATTTTTTAATGCAGAGTAATACTCCATTGTGTATAAATGCCACGTTTTTTTTATCCATTTGTCTATTGAAGGGCATCTAGGTTGGTTCCACAGTCTTGCTATTGTGAATTGTGCTGCTATGAACATCGATGTAGCAGTGTCCCTGTAGCATGCTCTTTTTAGGTCTTTAGGGAATAGACCTAGAAGGGGAATAGCTGGGTCAAATGGTGGTTCCATTCCCAGCTTTCCAAGAAATCTCCATACTGCTTTCCAAATTGGCTGCATCAATTTGCAGTCCCACCAGCAATGTACAAGTGTACCCTTTTTCCCACATCCTCGCCAGCACTTGTTATTTGACTTCATAATGGCTGCCAATCTTACTGGAGTGAGATGGTATCTTAGGGTGGTTTTGATTTGCATTTCTCTGACTGCTAGAGATGGTGAGCATTTTTTCATGTACTTGTTGATTGATTGTATGTCCCCCTCTGAGAAGTGTCTGTTCAGGTCCTTGGCCCATTTGTTGATTGGGTTATTTGTTATCTTATTGTCTAATTTTTTGAGTTCTTTGTATACTCTAGATATTAGGGCTCTATCTGAAGTGTGAGGAGTAAAGATTTGTTCCCAGGATGTAGGCTCCCTATTTACCTCTCTTATTGTTTCTTTTGCTGAGAAAAAACTTTTTAGTTTGAGTAAGTCCCATTTGTTGATTCTAGTTATTAACTTTTGTGCTATGGGTGTCCTATTGAGGAATTTGGAGCCCGACCCCACAGTATGTATATCGTAGTCAACTTTTTCTTCTATCAGACGGCGTGTCTCTGATTTGATATCAAGCTCCTTGATCCATTTTGAATTCACTTTTGTGCATGGCGAGAGAAAGGGATTCAGTTTCATTTTGTTGCATATGGATTTCCAGTTTTCCCAGCACCATTTGTTGAAGATGCTATCCTTCCTCCATTGCATGCTTTTAGCCCCTTTATCAAATATAAGATAGTTGTAGTTTTGTGGATTGGTTTCTGTGTCCTCTATTCTGTACCATTGGTCCACCCGCCTGTTTTGGTACCAGTACCATGCTGTTTTTGTTACTATTGCTTTGTAGTATAGTTTGAAGTCTGGTATCGCTATACCGCCTGATTCACACTTCCTGCTTAGCATTGTTTTTGCTATTCTGGGTCTTTTATTTTTCCATATGAATTTCATGATTGCTTTCTCTATTTCTACAAGAAATGCCGTTGGGATTTTGATTGGCATTGCATTAAACCTATAGAGAACTTTTGGTAATATCGCCATTTTGATGATGTTAGTTCTGCCTATCCATGAACAGGGTATATTTTTCCATCTTCTAAGATCTTCTTCTATTTCTCTCTTTAGGGTTCTGTAGTTTTCATTGTATAAGTCTTTCACCTCTTTTCTTAAGTTGATTCCCAAGTATTTTTTTTTTTTTGAGGATATTGTGAATGGAGTGGTGGTCCTCATTTCCATTTCAGAGGATTTGTCGCTGATATACAGGAATGCCTTTGATTTATGCATGTTGATTTTATAGCCTGCCACTTTGCTGAATTCATTTATTAGCTCTAATAGTTTCTTTGTAGACCCTTTTGGGTCTGCTAGGTATAGAATCGTGTCTTCTGCAAATAGTGATAATTTAAGTTCTTCTTTTCCTATTTTTGTGCCTTTAATTTCTTTCATCTAATTGCTCTGGCCAGTGTTTCGAGAACTATGTTGAACAGAAGTGGTGAGAGAGGGCATCCCTGTCTTATTCCAGATTTTAGAGGGAATGCCTTCAGTTTTTCTCCATTCAGAATGATGCTAGCCTGAGGCTTAGCATAGATTGCTTTTACAATATTGAGGTATGTTCCTGTTATCCCTAGTTTTTCTAGAGTTTTGAACATAAAGGAATGCTGTACTTTGTCGAATGCTTTTTTCGCATCTATCGAGATGATCGTGTGGTTCTTATTTTTAAGTCTATTGATGTGGTGAATAACATTTATTGATTTCCGTATATTGAACCAGCCTTGCATCCCAGGGATGAATCCTACTTGATCATGGTGCACAATTTTTTTGATATGTTTTTGTATCCGATTCGCCAGAATTTTATTGAGGATTTTTACATCTATGTTCATTAGAGATATTGGTCTGTAGTTTTCTTTCTTTGAAGTGTCTTTGTCAGGTTTAGGAATCAGGGTGATGTTGGCCCCGTAGAATGAATTTGGAAGTTCTCCCTCTTTTTCTATTTCCTGAAGTAGCTTGAAAAGTATTGGTATTACTTCCTCTTTAAAGGTTTTGTAAAACTCTGCTGTATACCCATCCGGTCCTGAGCTTTTCTTAGTTGGTAGTCTTTTGATGGTTTCTTCTATTTCCTCAATTGATATTGGTCTGTTTAGGTTGTCTATATCCTCCTGACTCAATGTGGACAGATCATATGACTTAAGAAATTTATCGATGCCTTCACTATCTTCTAATGTATTGGAGTATAAGGATTCAAAATAATTTTTGATTATCTTCTGTATTTCTGAAGTGTCTGTTGTGATATTGCCTTTTTCATCCTGTATGCTAGTAATTTGAGTTCTCTCTCCTCTTCGCTAGCATGGCTAAGGGTCTGACGATTTTATTTATTTTTTCAAAGAACCAACTTTTAGTTTTGTCAATTTTTTCAATTGTTTCTTTTGTTTCGATTTCATTAATTTCAGCTCTGATTTTAATTATTTCTTGCCTTCTACTTCTTTTGCTGTTGTTTTGCTCTTCTTTTTCTAGGATTTTGAGATGAAGTATGAGATCATTTATTTGTTGGTTTTTTCTTTTTTTAAGGAATGAACTCCAAGCAATGAATTTTCCTCTTAGAACTGCTTTCAATGTGTCCCATAGATTCCGATATGTTGTGTCTGTGTTTTCATTTATCTCTAAGAATTTTTTAATTTCCTCCTTGATGTCTTCTGTAACCCATTGATCATTCAGTAACCTATTGTTCATTCTCCAAGTGATGCATGCTTTTTCCTTCCTTCTTTTATCGTTGATTTTCAGTTTCATTCCATTATGATCAGATAAGATGCATGGTATTATCTCTACTCCTTTATATTGTCTAAGAGTTGCCCTGTGACATAATATATGATCTATTTTTGAGAAGGATCCATGTGCTGCTGAAAAAAAGTGTAACTGCTTGATGTTGGGTGGTATATTCTATATATGTCAATTAAGTCTAGGTTATTAATTGTGTTATTGAGTTCTATAGTTTCCTTATTCAACTTTTGTTTGGAAGATCTGTCCAGTGGTGAGAGAGGTGTGTTGAAGTCTCCCATGATTATTGTATGGTGGTCTATTAGACTCTTGAACTTGAGAAGAGTTTGTTTGATGAACATAGCTGCACCATTGTTTGGGGCATATATATTTATGATTGTTATGTCTTTTTGGTGTATGGTTCCCTTGAGCAGTATGTAGTGTCCCTCTTTATCCCTTTTGATTAACTTGGGCTTGAAATCTATTTTATTTGATATGAGTATGGACATTCCTGCTTGTTTCCAAAGTCCATATGAGTGATATGATTTTTCCCAACCTTTCACCTTCAGCCTATGTATGTCTTTTCCTATCAAATGTGTCTCCTGTAGGCAGCATATTGTTTTGTCTTATTTTGTGATCCATTCTACTAGCCTGTGTCTCTTAATTGGTGAGTTTAAGCCATTAACATTTAGGGTTATTATTGAGATATGGGTTGTTCTTCCAGCCATATTTGTTTATTTATGTTACTAAACATGGTTTGTTTTCCTCTTTGATTGTTTCCCCCCCTTTACTGTCCTACCTCCCACTGTTGGTTTTCATTGTTATTTTCCATTTCCTCTTCCTGTAATGTTTTGCCAAGGATGTTTTGAAGAGATGGTTTTCTAGCTGCAAATTCCTTTAACTTTTGTTTATCGTGGAAGGTTTTAATCTCATCTTCCATCCTGAAGCTTAATTTCGCTGGATACACAATTCTTGGTTGGAACCCATTTTCTTTCAGTTATTCCAGGATCTTCTAGCTTTCAGAGTCTGTGTTGAAAGATCAGCTGTTATCCTGATTGGCTTACCCCTAAATATAATCTGCTTCCTTTCTCTTGTAGCTTTTAAAATTCTTTCCTTATTCTGTATGTTGGGCATCTTCATTATAATGTGTCTAGGTGTGGATCTCTTATGATTTTGCACATTCGGCGTCCTGTAGGCTTCTAGGATTTGGGATTCTGTCTCATTGTTCAAGTCTGGGATGTTTTCTCGTATTATTTCATTGAATAGATTGCTCATTCCTTTGGTTTGAAACTCTATCCCTTCCTGTATCCCAATGACTCTTAAATTTGGTCTCTTGATGTTATCCCATATTTCTTGGATGTTCTGCTCATGGTTTCTTAACAGTCTTGCTGAGCTGTCTATGTTCTTTTCAAGTTGAAATACTTTGTCTTCATTGTCTGATGTTCTATCTTCTATGTGTTCTGCTGTGCTGGTAGTATTCTCAATTGAGTTTTTAAGTTGGTTTATTGCTTCCTGCATTTCTAGGATTTCTGTTTGTTTGTTTTTTATAACCTCTATCTCCCTGTATAGTTTGATCTTTTGCTTCTTGGATTTGTTTATGTAATTCATTGTTGAAGTGATCTTTCATTGTCTGATTTTGGTGTCTGATGTCTTCCTTGAGACTCCAGATCATCTGAAGCATGTATATCCTGAATTCTTTATTTGACATTCCATCTGCTGCAGATATTACCTCTTCTAACGTTGAGTTGACCTGCATTGCTTGTGGTCCTTTCTTTCCTTGTCTCTTCATACTGTTCGCGTTTCTTTCTGCTTGGTTAAACTGTTGTTGCTATTGAATTTTCCCCCTATATATTTATATTGCTCTTGTATAGTTGCAAAGTCTCCCTCGCAGGCGCAGGCGGCGGCTCTGCCCCTCCTCCAATTGGGGCAATGTGCCTACCACGCCGGCAGGCCCCTGGGCCTCTTCTGCCGGTGGGTAGCAGGTCCGCCTACCTTGCAGGCGCGGGCGGCAGCTCTGCCCCTCTGCGGGCTGCTAGGCTTGTTCTGTCGGTGGTCGCAGTTCTGCCTACTTTGCAGGCGCGGGCAGCGGCACTGCCCCTCTGCAGGCCGCTGGGCCTGTTCTGCCGGTGGGTCGCAGGTCCGCCTATCTTGCAGGCACGGGGGTGCGGCTCTACCCTTCCGCAGGCCGCTGGGCCTGTTCTGTCTGTCGGTTGCAGGTCTGGCGTGTTCTGTTGGTGGTCGCAGGTCCGCCTACCTTGCAGGCGCGTGGGGCAACTCTGCCCCTCCGCGGAATACTGGGCCTGTTCTGCTGGTGGGTCACAGGTCCGCCTACCTTGCAGGCGCGGGGGGCGGCTTTGCCCCTCAGCAGGCCGCTGGGCCTGTTCTGCCGGTGGTCACAGTTTCGCCTACCTTGCAGGCACTGGAGGAGGGGGCGGCTCTGCCCCTCAGCAGGCCGCTGGGCCTGTTCTGCCGGGGGGTCGGAGCTCCGCCTACCTTGCAGGCATGGTTGGCAGCTCTGCCCCTCCATGGGCCACTGGGCCTGTTCTGTCGGTGGTCACAGTTCTGCCTACCTTGCAGGCGCGGGGGGAGGGGGCAGCTCTGCCCCTCAGCAGGCCACTGGGCCTGTTCTGCCAGGGGGTCAGAGGTCTGCCTACATTGCAGGCGTGGTTGGCAGCTCTGTCCCTCCACGGGCCACTGGGCCTGTTCTGTCGGTGGTCACAGTTCCACCTACATTGCAGGTGCGGAGGGAAGGGGCGGCTCTGCCCCTCAGCAGGCCGCTGCGCCTGTTCTGCTGGTGGGTCGCAGGCTCACCTACCTTGCAGGCGTGGTTGGCAGCTCTGCCCCTCCACGGGCCACTGGGCCTTTTCTGTCGGGTGGTCACATTTCCGCCTACCTTGCAGGCATGGGGGGGGCGGCTCTGCCCCTCATCAGGCCGCTGGGCCTGTTCTGTGTGTTGTCACAGTTCCGTCTACCTTACAGGCGTGGGGGGAGGGGTCGGCTCTGCCCCTCAGCAGGCCGCTGGGCCTGTTCTGTGGTTTGTCACAGCTCCGCCCACCTTGCAGGCACGGGGGGAGGGGGCGGCTCTGCCCCTCAGCAGGCCGCTGTGCCTGTTCTGCTGGTGGGTCGCAGGCCCGCCTACCTTGCAGGCGTGGTTGGCAGCTCTGCCCCTCCGCGGGCCACTTGACCTGTTCTGTGGGTGGTCACAGTTCCGCCTACCTTGCAGGCGCAGGGGGAGGAGGCGGCTCTGCCCCTCAGCAGGCCGCTGCGCCTGTTCTGCTGGTGGGTCCCAGGCCCTCCTACCTTGCAGGCGTGGTTGGCAGCTCTGTTTGCGGTTCTCTTGATAAAGCGAATCCTGTAGAAGATGGAAGAGCCCTGGTCTAGAGGTCAGAACCCTCCTTTTTGTCATTTGGGGTTTTAAATTTTGCTCTTTGGTTTGTTTTTAAAAGTTTGATCTTCATTTATTTGAGACTACTCATTGAGTTTATCAATATTACACTTTAATATGCAAAAATGTTAATCAGTGGTTAGAGCTGTGGATGGTGGGTGGGTAGGGGTTACATGAGGTGATTTCTTTTTGGTTAGAGGAGGCAGATTGACATACAATGCACTGCACATATTTAAATTATAAAAACGTACAAATATATAAAGAGCCTGGAAACCATCACCTGAACATGAACTCATACATGCATAATAATGAACTCATGTTTATAGCCCCTTAAATTTCCTTGTGGCTACTTGTCATCACTTTCTGTCCTCCCATCCCTTGCAACCACTCATCTGGTTTATGTTCTGGCCCTGTAGTCATTCAGTGTGTGCTTTCTTGTAGGGCTTATTTATTCAGTGTAATGAATTTCAGTTTCGTGTGTGTTGTCCTTTGTATGTACCACAGATTGATTCTCCATTCATCTGCTGGTGGACATTTGTGTTGACTGCAGTTTTTGACCTTTACAAAGAAAGCTGTTGTGATCATTTTTGTACAAGTCCTTGTGTGCATATATGCTTTCATTTTCTTGGGCAAAACATAAGTATGAATTGCTGGATCGTACAGTTGATGTGTTCAAAGTAGAGTTTCAGGTTTTTTGAGTGAATTCTTAATCCCTATTCTTGTATATTCACCGTTTTCTCATTTGGTTTTGGACAGTGAGCCTGAGGCAAGGATATTTCTCTTTCATAAACCTCAAGTTCTTTTACCTAGGAGTTAATTTAACAGAAAAAAAAATCAACTCTATCATACCATGCTAAAGTTTTGCAGTTTTTTTTGCATGTAGGTTAAGTCCATGTATCACACAGAATTTTACCATAATTCAGCCATTACTATACTGTGAGATATTTGTGTTGTTTTCATTTTTTATGTTAGCTTACAAAATGAGATGACTCCCAATATATAGCTGAATGTATTCCTTTAGGATTTGAGTGTTTTAGTATTGGGGAATTGGAAAATTATTCTTTCCCTTCAATGTATTTACTTACTTTTTAATTGACAGTGTTTTAGTAACATTTATGGGACACAATGTGGTTTTGGACCTCTGTATACATTGTAAATGATGCAGTGCATTTACATACGCACTACTTCCATGATTTAACTTTTAGTCTGTGTGGTAAGAACATTTAAATCCTTTAGAAACTTTTAAATATACAATTTTGACATCATAGAGCACAGTTGGTCTATGCTCTTTCTTCCTCATTCTGAGACCTTGAACTCTTTGACTGACCTTCTCTCTCTCTGTGCCTCCTGGAAGGTAGGTGTCTAATTTTGTTTGTTTCTTTCTCTCTTTTTTCCCCCCAATATCTAGGGTTTTGAACATGCTCAGCAAACATCCACTACTAATTACACACCCAGATTTTATGTTTTGAGGCATGTTTGCACTAAGTTTCCTGTGCTCACCTAGAACTTGCCATCCTCCTCCCTTAGTCACCCAGGTAGCTGGGATTACTGGTATATGTTCCAGTGACTGCCTAGAAGCAGATATTGTTGAATTTGCCCATGAAGGGTTCAAGTCCCTTGGACTACAGTGCTACATTGTTTTCCTGAAAGTCAGGGCCACCTGTTCACCCACTAGCAAAACATGCTGTTTATAAATATGTAGTAGGCAAAAATGGGCCCTGGACCCAATGGTGAGGAGCTGTTCCACAGCCTGCAGCCCCTGCTGATCTCTGTGCTTAGTGACAGCTCAAATAGCTGAGCTCCACTGTGTTTCCGCTCTCGGCTTGGGTTGCTATGTGGCTGCTGCTGATGTCCAGGAGGACATCGTTTATGAGGACATGGAGACACTCTGTGGTACCCTGTGCACTCTGGCCACTGACAGCAACAAGTACCATGCTAAGGCCAACGCTCTACTTTCCGTGCTGTGCTGAACTTTGTTGAGGGCAGTGAATGCCAGGAAGAGACAATCCGCTTTGGACTGAAGTGCTCTCTGTGGACAGCTGGGCTCGGCACCAGATCTATGCTGCCTTCAAGGATGTACTGGGTTCCGGCATGCACCACCACCTTCAGAACAATGAGCTTCTTCGTGACATCTTTGGCCTGGGCCCAGTGCTGGTGCTGGATGACACTTCCCTGAAGGCCTGCAAAATTTCATGCTTTGAGAAGCACCTGTACAATGCTGCTACCTTCAAAGGCCTGACCAAGGCTCACAGCTGTGTAAGGGACAAGTGGGCAGACATCCTGTGAGGCGGACCAGCTGAAGAGAAGTCTATCTACATTGTTGCCCATATTTTTACAGAAGAGAGTGCAAGAACTGGTCTCTGCCAGTGATTGTCACTTTATTTTTTTAATGGCAAAACCAAAAACAGATATAGGGCGGATGAGTGAAGGGTCAGGACTTTTGGGACCCTGGCCTTTGTCCCCGCACTCAACTCTATGGCCTCTTCCTGCCCTTTCTCAGGTAAGGCCAAATGTGTGCCTCTCCCAGGGTAGTCAGTAGGGAAGCTACCGACTGACCCCTCTGTGATTATGTAATGACATAATGTGAGAGTGTATTGGCACCAATTTGTGTACTGCATTGTGACTCTGGTAGTAGCAATCACAGTGAGCTGAGGCTCCACAAGTCGAAGGGCAGAGTCCCCATCAAGGCTACCTTTACTTCAGATGCTGGCTGTATTACAGGGCTATTCAGGAGCCCTACATTTCTGACCAACTGATACTAATTTGGGGATTCATGTGACTCCTGCATAGAACTCATGGAATCCTGGTGATTAAAGTGCTGCTATAAAGGGTATAAACAAGGACAAACCAAATAATGAGTTATACCAGGTGAAGTCTAGGAGGGTCTGAGCAAGGACCCTCTCCCTGTGGGATCCAGCACACCTTTCTCTTGGCCCATCACTGTATTCACCAAGCAGAAATGTCCACTGAGATTCAGTGTCCAGAACTTTTATTGGGGTTTCATTATGTAGATGTGATTGATTAAATCAATGGATGTGGGATTGAATTCAGTCTCCATCTCCCTTCACTGCCCTGAGGTTGGGCTGGTTAAAGCCCTAACTCATAGGAGTGGTGAACAACCTTCCCTCTCTTGCATCAGATCCAACCTGTTAGCAGAATCACAATTATGATATAAATAATGATAGTTGTATTATTTGTGAAATTTTAAGGATTTAGACTTCCTCCCAGAATCCAGGAGCAAAAGCCATTCAATTCTGCTTATATAACACTTGTCATTTGAGATTGATTCATGTTTTCACTCAGGTGCTTACAATCATTCCAGTGGATGCATGAGTCAACAGTGCATTCCTTTTTATTGCTGTGTGGTATTCCGTGGTATAGAGATACCACAGTTTGTTCCACCATTCAACATTCCTTCAGGAACATAAGTATCCTATAAAAATCCCTTCTGGACCTTACATAAGGTGCATGTCAGTGGTTGAAGTAGTAGTTGAAATATAATATAAGCTTATCTGCATTCTTCATGTTCTTTAGGGAGAGTCTGTCCCCTGCCTTAGCTAACTGAGAAAATCACTATACATGGTCATAATCCTAGGGGGAAAGCAACACAATAAACTGGTCATGACCAAAAAGAAAGACTTGTTTTGCATTAAATTTACTAAATTGCTCTAGTATTTAAAAATGTACTTGTGCACAATCTGGTTTCAAGGAACTGACAATACATTCTGTTCTGCATGGGAATGTGGCTACTGACCTAAAGTTCTAACTTATGGATAGGAAGACAATGAAGGCAGTTAAATGAGGGAGTCAGTTTAATAAGGTGTGTCAGGGTCTGAATAAATTACTCCCTGTGATTTCATGAGAAGCTTGTGATGGATAAATTGTGCTCCACGATTCCCATTCCCCTATCCTGAGTTCTGACCTTTCTTTGTGAACACATGCTAATGTCCTGTGAATTTCTCAGGAGAAAAATTTTTAAGTTATGTTTGGTAGAGAACTGTAAGAAGCCATGGAAATATTGGGAAGTAGAGGTGGGAAGTGCTAGCGTACACACCTTCATTTGTGTGTGTTCTCATTCAACATGAGGGGGCCAAGCAGGGGTTCCACTGAGGGGGTCTTATATGGGAGATTCAGTGAGGAATAATTTCATAAGCATATAGGATTTTTTTCATGAGGAGATTCTTGTAAAATGAGTCATTCTTTCCAAAAGCCAGCAATGTTCCTGTGATAGACCAAAAAAAC